TGGGGAAGATTGGACAATTGTTTGGACTTGGGGTTGAAATTTGAAGAAATGGCCCAATTCGATTTTTCTTTGTATTTTTGCTTCTTTTCTTCTTTTATTTTTCTAAAACTAAATTATAAAAATACTTAAACTATTATTAAGAACTAAATTAAGTTATAAAAGTGCAAATTAACTCCCAATAACAATTAACGCACAATTAAGTAATAATTAAGCATAAAATTGTATATTCGGACATTAAATGCTAAAAATGCAAACGATGCCTATTTTTGTAATTTTTATTTTTTGTAAAACAAACTTAATTACTAACAATTGTAGAATTAAATCCTACATGCAAAATGCGACATATTTTTGTTTTTTTAATAATTTAACAAATAAACATGCACAGACAAACATACAAATAGTTACACAAAATATCACAAAATATCACAAAAATTGCACACTAAGAAAAATTATTTTATTTTTGAATTTTTGGGGAGTAATTCTCATACAGGGCAAAAATCATGTGCTTACAAACATTGCATCCACCTATGCCATGTGCATTTATGAAACTGAATATGCCATATGTATTTATGAAATTTAGCCTTTATTTACATGCTATTGTGTGGTGATTTAGTCCATGTGTCGTGATTTACATGTTGTTGTGTGGTGATTTACATGCTGTTGTCTACTAGGTTGTCTTCCGCATATGTTTAGTTGTTTGATATATTGAATATGCCATGTGCATTTATGATATAGGGAGATATATGTCCAGCCATTGAATACATTAAATATTAGGTTGTCTTCAGAATATAAGCATATGGTTGTCTTCAGCATATGTTCAGTTGTAAATTTAGCCTTTATTTAGTGATTGATATAGGCTGATGCATTCATCCCTAAGGCATCACCTTTTAAGCTTCCAAAGAACCAAACTTTATAACATTGCAAATAGATTTATAATCAGCCATAATCAAAAGTAGGAACAAATAGATTTAAGTAGCAAGATACATCATTCGATATATAGCTTAAACAAGTTACAAAAAGTAAGATACAAAAAATTAGAGCTTAAAATACATCATCCGATATTTAGCTGCAAATATTCATGAGAAACAACACATCTACAAGAAAAGAACTTTCACTGTCCATTCCCAATTCAGCTTCAACTTTTGATAATAGCAGCAATAAATCCTACAAATAGCGCACATGAAATCATAATGAAGATCTTCATCTTGAGAATTCTATCTTCCAACTCCAATTGTTTCGTTACTAGAAGATTATTTCTTGCCTTCATCGCAACTACTTTTTCCTTCAATTTGTCCTTTTCAGTCTTGCCATCATCCAACAACGACTTCAAATTATTGATTTTAAGATTAGCCACATCCAACTCACACTTCAAATTGTTGATTACAACGAGCGCTCTGTCCGGGACAGGATCCTCTACCCATTCCCAATAACCACATGAACTACCCTAAAAAACAATCCGAAAAAGATTACTTATGAACATCAGCAAAACAAATCAGTCAAAAACAAGAAAAATTCAAACAAGACCAATATATAATCCCTTACTTCCGGTTTAGGGCACTTATAGAATCTCCTCCCAGGATTTAAAGGAGTCGTCGAAGTAAAATTGTTAGCAATTTCTCCACAAAGACACTTCCTCTTCGATGAACAACTGCCTTCTGACATATCAAGTTTTCGGACAATAGATAAGGCGAGAGTGAGAGAAATTGGAGCACCCAACCTATTTTGTGGAAGAACCCTAAAATGGCTTCTTCTCTGAGTTATGTTATCGATTTAGGTTAGAGGGGGAAGATTAAGAGGATTTAAGTTAAAGGGGTTGGGGTGGGTCGGGTTAAAAGGGTTGGGTCGGCTAGTTTTTAATTAGATATGGGGCGGATGATTTTAGACCAATAGGATATTTACACGTGTATTAATTAATATGCTGATGGACATTTTAAAAATCAAAGTAAAACGGTAGGAACTTTAATAACACAAAAGTAAAATGGGATACATATAACTTATTTTTAATAACAGAGGGGTATTTTAGGCCCTTAACCGTTATTTCTTCTTCTTTATTGAGTTAGTTAAATCAAATATATTAACATTTTCCAAAATCTGTAAATTTTTCTAATTTTTATTCTAAGTAAAACTAAAACACATTTGTTGAATGTTATTTCTGTACTTTCAAAATTTTGTTTCCATTAACAAGGCGTACACTCGCAACTTACCGAAACCCTACGGCTCATACCAGTCGCCGGCGACGCCGTTCTTCCATCATCCAACACCATCCAGCTCCGGCGATTCTCCGGTGAGTCCCTTTCCGCCTTCTCTCTCTCTCTCTCTCAACTTAACTAATCTTGCTATTTGAAGAGAATGGACACCTCATTTCTTCTCGCAGCTGAGACACTTGAGATCATGATAACAATTAGCGATCTAAATTTCACGCTTTTCTTGCTTTTATTTTGAGAATGTCATAACTAATTGCTGTGTTTTATCCAATTAGAATTCTGCTCTTAGTTGTAGATTCAACTTGATTTGTATTTGTCTTATAAGGTACATTGACATTCTCAGTTTGTTCATTTTGTACAATTGAAATAGAAAGGAAGAATTTGCAAGTTAAAATTGTTATTTTTTCTGGAAAACCTTAATTTTGCTTCTATTATGTGAAGCGTATGTTATTTGCTTATCTGGGATAAACTTAAATGGTGTATTGTAAGATTTCTTTGTTTAGATGCCATTGTTTTAGGTTCCCCTCAAGTATAAATCAGTCTATCAGCTTGCCTAAGTTTAATATATTAGGGAGCTAGATCTTCATACTTTTAATAATTAGTATAATGACTGCTATTTTGTTTATTGGAGAGTGGTCAAGCTCTATCAGAGGGGTGTCTTACAATTTTGCTATGTTACTGGATACAGGATTTAGATGTTGGATTTGTCATCACCTAAATCGTAGGATTCGGGGATATGGATAGGAGTATGGGTATGGGTGTTAAGATACAACCAATAAATATGTAGCTATATACTTCAAAGCAGTGTTGTCAAAGGCGCGCTTAAGCCCTAAAGCAAGGCTCAAAACATGTTGAGCGCTTCGCCTCGCTTTGTGGACGCTTCAATGTTGCATCCAGACTCTAAAATATACTTTTCCTTGCCAATGAGTGTAATCCCGAAAAGGCGATATTGAACAATTGATATTTCACTTTATCGTAACATTTTTTCAATTTTTTTGTCCATATATTTGTTATTCATGCTTATAATTATTGGTCTTGGACTACATATACATATTTTTACTTTTTCTCCAGTTGCGCCTTTTTTCATTAAAGCCCAAGCTTTATTTGCGCTTAAAGCCCCAACAGACCTTAAAGCTTTTTTGCGCTTTCCGCCTTTGATAACATTGCTTCAACGACTAATCAAAGTTATTAAATTTAAAGCTGGTATAATTAAATTCTTTGTAAACACAATATTTTATTCATTAGTTGTCGCATAACAGCTACTACAACAACAACAACAACCCAGTATAATCCCACTTAGTGGGGTCTGGGGAGGGTAGTGTGTACGCAGACCTTACCCCTACCCTGAGGTAGAGAGGCTGTTTCCAAATAGACCCCCGGCATCCTTCCCTCCAAGAACTTCCCACCTTGCTCTTGGGGAGACTCGAACTCACAACCCCTCTTGGTTGTCGCATAACAGCTAACTGTTCTAATACTTTATGTGAATATATGTATGATATAGAGCCAAATTCATCAATTACTCAATGGACTTATACTTCTTGGCCATAGGTGTAGAACCAAATCCACTGCAGATTCCACTGTTACATCCAAATCATGTCGGATCGACATGGGTGCTGGAAAATATTCGGAGGATATGAGCAACATAGGTTGGAGTTATACACATAGGTACATCCCATTTTCAGTTCATACAACAACGTGCCTTTCTTCTCTAGACTTGATTTCGGGACCAACATGACAAGAGAACAATAAAAAAAAGAATTTGCTCAATGCGTACAGTCTTGCAACTAATTTAAGAACTTCGAGTTCGGCATAAGAAAGGGATAATTTTCTCGCTCTCTTTTTCTGGGGGGGTTAGAGGGTGGGGGTAGGTAGAGTTGGTAGGGGATGTTCTGTTTTTGTTATCTAAACCTTTAATTGTTTGATGGAGAGCGTGCTGCTGAACAGCTGATCTATACTGGGTTTAACCAACAAATGTGCCTGGCTAAGTTGTTCGGACTCTTTACTTTTGATGCCACACCCATGTCGATATGGCGTGGGTGTGGGTGTGGGTATGGGATTCATATCGGATTTGGTCAATTGATTTTGGATACTTTGACCAAAATCGATGGAGAAATTCGAGACAAATACAATGATTTCGGAAATCAGTACATAAGCTAGGGTGAAACTGAGAATAAAAGAGAAACTTTCTGCACAAGCACCATGTAAGTTTTCCATATAATGTCTCATAATTTAGGCATATTTTATAATTCTGTTTTTAGATATTTGAATTAGTTTTAGCCGAATTCTCGCATCTGTATTCATACCTAGATCCGTACCCATAAATCTTTAGATCTGGATCATAAAAGATCCGACTTCTAGATCCACACCTGAATCGGACACTTGCACCTGAGTCCGAGCAACTTAGGTGCCTGGCTTGCTTGAGTTGAGTGTCCTAAGTGGCTCTGCCTTCTCAATCACAATGGAGCAAGCCGCTTTGAATGCGGCAGAGAATTTGCTCCTAGTAATAATTCTAAATTTTGATCAGTTGTTTTTGTTTTGGTATTTGAGTCTTGAAGGGAGGGAGGGATATGCCAACAAAGATTTGAAGTTGCTGTTATCCGTAGATTGGTCATCAAATCAAAATAGGGATCATTCTATCATGATAAAATCTTCATGGTTTCTTTACGATAAAATTTCATCAGGTGGCTACTTCCGGCTGTATTGTGTTTTTACTTGCTGGTAATATCAAGGATAGTTGCATTCATCTGCATTATAGTGAAATTTGTATGCAAGAAGTGGCCAGAGATTTATCTAGGTTTTTTCTTCACTAATTTAACTTTAAGCTTAAGGGTTGCTTGGTTCATGACATATAACAGTCCCCTTGGGTTATTATGGGTGGGTTACTATCCAATGTTTGGTATATTGGATTTATTGAATAACATAAGATGTGTAATTTGGATCCGGATTAAGATTTGTGTCTCAGTTACCCAAAGTTTATTATTCACCATTCATATGTAATACAAAACATATCTCTAATATTCTACAATGTAAGAATCCACCTTGTAGGAAAATAAATGTAAAGAAAGAGTTTAGCAAAAGATGGAATAAACATGGAGGAAAGTATGAAGCAAAGAAAAGACAGAAAAACAATAAATTTGCTTTAGGGACAGGGAAGGAGATCGAATGTCACAGGGTGCGGGAGCGATGATTGCTTCCAATCGGGATTACTCAGATCTGCNAGGTTTTCACTTAACCACAGTGGATAGCGAAGTGGGGGTTGCTGGGAAATACCAAAACTGCAGCAGGGGGATCAGTGGGCTGAAAAACATTGATTCTGATTATTTCCCAGTGTTATGTGATTAGATATATCCAATGTTGTTAATCAATATGTGAAGCTATTCATATGAGGCTGATAAAATGTAAAGCAAGCCAATTGATGAATCTACTTTCATTCAAATATTACTTACCCAAAACTTGACGATGTGAATGCTTATAGAGAAGTTACATATATTTTATTTTAACCCAGGAACAATGGCTGGAAAAGCTATGAAATCAGTAGCAAAAGCGGTTGGAGAAAATCAATATCAATGGCAAGAGAAGTTGGCAAAATACAAAGACGAGCTTTCCAAGGGAGTTTGGGGTTACTGGGAACTTGGGGCATGGAAACCACTGGGCATCAGTGCTCGCCATCGAGCTCGCCTACGTAAGGAAGTTCTCCTTGCTGGACAAGATTGGCCATACGATCCAGAAAGGAAGGAAATGAGAACCAAGCAGAAAGGACATAAGTGTGACAGAATATCAGCAGAAAAGCGGGAGAAAACGGCTGAACTGATGCAGAAAATGCCAGATATGTTAGCTGATTATAGGAAGAGAAGATGGGAGAGAAAGATGAAAGCAGAAGAAGATGCTGCTAGAAGAGCAGTGCAAGAGTAGTTTTTTACTTAACAATGTATGATGTGATAATTGACATGGGATGTTCAAAGAGTTTCAGTCATTTGCAGTATCAAATAATTTTGAGCATTATGTCCTTTTGTGTAACTTTCCTTAATTTGGATATTTGAAAACTTGCTCGGCTTTTGTGTATTTTTTTTTTTGATAAGGTAAAACTGGCTCTGTTTTGTTATGATCACTCTCTTTTTAAATGGGAAATTACCTAATGAAAACAAAATTAATCGGACCAATTTTGAGAAATGGGTGATCTCCAAGACTTCGGTTTGTGCTTTTCTAGCTTTATTAGTTTGGGATTTACCTCGAACAAATTTATTTGTTAACAAACTATTCAAATCCTGTCCTGTTTGAATTTCTCTTTTTAATTCCACGACACGTCAAAGCAGCAATTGTAGTATTCAGTCTATAAATGGGCTTTTAATAAGAAAAGGTAACCAAACGAGTAACCAAGTCCCTATTCACGAAACCAGCTGGTCCCACACCGACTAAACGCTACATATTTTTGCAATTCAAATAGCGAAAGCAGAAGAGCTTTGTTCGTCCCTTCGGGGACATCCGATAAAATTGGAACGATACAGAGAAGATTAGCATGGCCCCTGCGCAAGGATGACACGCACAAATCGAGAAATGGTCCAAATTTTTTTTGTCAACTCGCCATTTTTTATCTCCATAGCTTCTTTCAGCGACCTAAGTTTTTGTTGCAACCTTCAATCTGAGGTTAGTTGCTTTCTTTCTTTATTTCCTTTTTTTTAAATTAGATTGTTGTCGCTCTTTGTTTATGTAAATGTTAAAAACCTTCTTGCTTTATCAAATATCGATTAAGCTTCGGTGTACAATTTTGAACTTGGATGATTAGGTCAAATGACAAAGGTTTTATCCTTTTTTCCAAAGATTATTTGTCAAGTTAGATGTCAACTGTCAAAAATTGGTAAGAGACTGTTGTGAGCATATTATTTGCTAATAATGTTTAAACAGAACAGAGTGTTAGTTGGTCTTTGTTATCTTCATACTCTCAGACTAGGCTAAGACTTAACATGCTAATGATGTGCTTTCATTATTAGTAACTTAAGCATCAAAACCTCTGAAATTTAAAATCTCAAGATTTCGAGAAATTAGGAGAAATTGTGAACACTCACCCTAGTCAAGAACTGTTTTGGCAGTATAAGTTACAAAACTCGAAGAAACGGGGAGGGCTTGGAGTTGAAGATTTAAGGGTTTTTAACAAAGCTTTGTTGGGTAAATGGCTATGAAAATTCNGGTCAAGAATTAAGGACGTCAATTTGCCTTGTGGGTGTGCGTTATGGAGGAATATTATGAAGAGATGTGTAGAATTTAGTGGCAATGTATCATTTGGGGTAGGAGATGTTAGGAGAGTTAGCTTTTGGGGGACATAAGTGGTGTGGGGATAACATGCTGAAAGATGAATTCCCGAGCATTTACAGGGTATCATGCCAAAAGGAGCTGACAGTTCAACAAGTTAGGGTGATGCAAGGTGGAGAGATTTTCTGGGACTCGAGTTTTAGGAGGAATTTCCATGATTGGGAGGTGATTGAGTTTCAAAGATTGTTAGGGTTGCTTCGCAGCCATTGTACGTCAACAGATAGCCACGATGCATAGAGGTGGGGTTTGGAGAGTAACAGGGTTTTTTTCAGTTAAGTCTTTCTATGAAAAGCTATTGGTTAAGGAGGAGGATGCCTTTCCATAGAGATCGGTTAGGATACGTCAGGTGCGGAGGAAGGTGTGCTTCTTCACTTAGTTAGCAGCTAGAGGGGTGATCTTGACAGCCGAGAATCTTAGAAAGCGGAAGGTTGTTTGTTGGTGCTTTATGTGTAAGGAGGCTAGTGAAGATGTCGATCATCTCTTTCTACAATGTAGTCTAGCTTCGAGATTATGATGGATATATTTTGTTGGTTTGGTATCTCATGGGTGATGTCGAGAACCGTAAAGGAATTAATGTTTAGCTGGAAGAGCGGGAGAAGGAGGAGAAGGCGCCGGGCATGGATTGTTGCTCCACTAGCACTCTAGTAGTCATGTGGGTGATTTGGAGAGAAAGAAACGAAAGAGCTTTCGAAGAGGTAGAGATGAGTTTCACTCAGTTGAGGAGTAGCCTCCGATCCCTTATTTTCTCTTGGTGCACCCATGAAGTTCCTTGTCATATAGAAGATTGGGTGACTTTCGTAGAGATCATGTATGTGCGTAGGTTTTTTATTTTTTGGTATACTTCTTGTATACGCCCGCTTTTGTTTTTGGCCCTCTCAGTAATGAAAAAGTTTATTTACTTGATCAAAAGTAAAAGTTACAAAACTTGAATGGTTGATGGTAACAAATTCCCTCTAGCCAGAAAACTGAGTAAGTTGTTGTAATGGACAAGGCTTTTGTTCAGTATTCTCTCTCTTGAACAGGACAGAGCTGAAAGTCTCATTAATTCCACATTACTTCACGAGCAATTTTTGTTTTTTTATGTTTTTGTTGAGAATTGAGATAAACCCTTAATTACATAATATTTTATATTGACTGTGTCTACCGGATCAATAAGGACATCAATCTGCCTGATTCTTCTTGATTAAACGATTATAGATTACTAAGCTGATCCAAAATTGACACTTCTAAGTCCTAATGCCAAATATTCCTCTTCAATTAAGTTGTTTTGCATCTACGTGATTTAAGGTTGCTGGCTGGAAACTTTACCCTCTCTTTTGAGAATTGTGATCATGTGTATCTTCCTTAACTTGAAACACATCACTCCTTACAGCTGCAAAACTTTTATTGGGTAATTGGGAAATTTTACCTGGTGAAAAAAATACAGAAAATTATTTGTGGGAAAGAAAATATTTATCGAGTAAATATTATTGACTTGACATGGAGTTTATTTAAGAAATAATGGAAGACTTTGCAAGAATTCGTAAGTCGGATTACCATTTGACAAATTCAAAAATTTAGGGGGCAGCATGGCATGTCCCCATTGTGCTTAATTTCCATGATTTAACTCCTATTCGTTCCTCTCGCTTTCTCCTCCCTCTTCTATCTTTTCAAAGCAAATACGCGCTGCATATGGTTTTATGATTTTTTTTACTTTCTTGAAATACTTTCAGATCTCACACCATTGGCAAAAGAAAACGTGGTAAGAAAAGTAAACCTTGTTTACCGGGTGATACCGAGCAATCCTGGTGGTGCAGCAAAGTTTGACTCCCTTTGCTCGAACCTGCATAAATGACATATCCACCAATTTTTCTTGGAGGTTTTCCAGGTGATTAATTGAACACGCATTACTGTTTATTTTGGAGTTGATTGGGAATATCATGAATAGAGCAAGGAGCCTTTGGGTGTACTTGGCTTTTGTGATTAGGTCCTTTATTTCACTATTTTGGTCTCTTTGAACCAGTAGTATCTCTAGTTGTGGTCCTGTTCTTTTGTTGAGCACATAAAACCTTGAACTTTTTCCATTGCTTTTGTTAACAGATAAGACAATCAAATCCAACAGGCTTCAGTCTTGTCCTTTACTTAATTAAGTGGTTTTCCCTTTGCCCTCACCATCGTCTTTTTCATCATTTTCACACCCACGTCATGGAAGCATGTTTAAGGCAAGGTTACCTGGATTTACTAATTCTATTGCGAATCACGGATCTGGTGGGAACACTATATTTTGGGATTTAACTTGTTACCTTTTGGTTTTACAATTTAATATCCAATTCTGTCTGTAAAGCTAACTCCTATTAAGAAAAATGTGACTCTAAACAATCTTTTGTAGTAATTGTATTATTTTAAGCATGTGAATTTTCTACTTAGAAATTACTAGTTTATTAATCAAAGTTTCTGAAAGCAATTTGACGTATGATCTAAAGAAGCCTATCCCCAACGAAGTTAAGCTTTTGGTATAGTTGTCTGCAAAGTTGTTTCCATTCCCAAACTTAAGTGAGTGTAATATGTATTAGGTGACCGTTGCTTGTACTTTACTTTATTTGATAACTTTAAGGGGTTGCAGGCTCTAGATTCTAGGCTTTTGGACTGTCATTGAACTTCTCATCTAGTTTATCCAAGGGTTGCTTCCTGTAAAGGCCTCTCTTTAGGAATTAATGCACGAGCCACGTTGGTGGTGGTTTATGATCCGTGACAACTATGATTGGAACTAATGCAGACCTATGTTGCTCGGACTTTTCCGAAAATGTCACCTAGTGCGTGTCGCATCCTCCATAAGTAGTGTATTTTTGGAGGATCCGACACTGATGCATCAGCATTATAGAGAGCCCGCGCAACATGGATACAGACCAACTAACGCTTTCCACAAGGGGCACATACGGGTTTCTACTCGTATAGTGTCCTTTTTCTTTTCTAGAGAGGAAGCTGAGTCTCCTTCCTACTAAGTTTTGTAAACCTTTAGGTGATGTCAATTGGGCAGTTAAAAACAGGTTGAGACAACAATCTGCCCAATAGTTGCTTGGATCAAGATGGGCTAAGTAACGGGTCATAACCCAATTTGTTTCAGTTAAAGCTATTTTTTGTGTTGTTTGTTTTTTGCCAAAATTACATAGAAATAAGATCTTTGTAAATTTGTAACATAAATTATCATAAATTAGGAAATGTTATATAACAGATTTGCTTTATTACTTATGTCTTCCAGTTTCACTTAATTTTGATTACTTCGAAGTGATACTTTTTCCAACTTCACTTTGATATTTTTTTTGCATTGGGGAGGGGGTGGGGGTTGAGAGCAAAGCGAAGTGCATTGTTGTAACGGGTCCAAAATTGATACTAATTTGGCCAAGCTGTAAAAATCAGCTTATTTTGAGAAGTGCTTTTTTTCAAAAATACGTTTGGTGAGAAGCAGTTTGTATTTGGCTAATTAGTTTGAAAAGCACTTCTGAGCAGCAATTAGTGTTTGGCCAAGTTTTAAAAAACTGTTTCTAAATGTATTTTTCTCAAAAGTGCTTCTCAAAAAAGTGCTTTTAGAGAGAAGCTATTTTTTCTGCTTCTCCAAAACTGCTTATGATTCTCCTCAAAAACACTTTTTTTCCTTCCAAAAGCTTGGCCAAATACCTCAATTTTTGGCCAAAAGTGCTTTTGGCAAAAAAAAAGAAGCACTTTTGGCCAAACAGGCTATAAGTCGCAATGCTTGTGTTTAATGTTCCCGGAGGCTGAGTTGTTCCTATTCATCAGCTGCTGACTCCTGAAGAAAAGAAGACGTTGCCCTGAAAGATATACTGTCAAAGAAACACAGGTTCGGCTCTGTAGTTATTGCCCTGAAATCTACTTTTGTAGCTGCATATAGTATTAAAAAAAGTGTGATCAGTATTGTTTTTGTACAACTGTTTCTTTTCAAGATAATATTCACATAATTTCGTCCAAAAAAACAAACAGATCAGAGAGGACAAGAAATAATTAATCCTTCTATTTTTCTGTGCTTTTAGTCATGTTAGGGGACGTTTGGTTGGTGGAATAAGATAACAATCCCGGGATAAATGCTGGATTATTTATCCCAAGTTTGGTTGCATTTTTTAATCCGAGATTAATAATTCCGGTATTAGTTATACCACAATTGTGGTATTATTCTATCTATTCCGGGATAAAACACTAAAATGATAAAACACTTCAAGGCTCTTCTTCCAAAGTACTTTATCAAATTCAAGGGTAAAATTGGAAATAAAAGTTTATCCCAACTTATTTAATGTAAAACAATATGTTTTATATTATACCCGTGTATCTCATTTTTAGTCTAATGAACAAACATCTACCAGCAAAAGTGCATTTACTAAATAATGCTATTATTATTTAATCCCCGTATTGTAATCCCGTCGTTTTAATTTCGAGATAACTTGTTCCCCAACCAAATAACTTCGTGTCTAAACCTGAGTTTTTGAGTGGACTAATATGCTGATTAGGTTTCTGCACAGATTTAGATCACTATTCCAATTTTATTCCTGATTCTTCAGTTTTTTTTCAGTGCGGGACTGTTGATTTTGAAATTTTCACGGGCATTTTGCATTTCCACTAATTTTTCTTCTCGTCACATAGTGAACATTTACTTTTTCTTGAAACAGCTCCCTCGGATTCAAGTGACCGATCCAGTTGCTAGATATTATGGGCTAAAACGTCTCCAAGTCGCGAAAATTATTAGACCGAGTGAAACAGCTGGGCATTATGTTACCTGCAGATATCAACAACAACAATTACATACCAAGTGAAATCCTACAAGTGAGGTCCCCTTCTGGGGAGGGTAATGTATATGCAGACCTTATACCTACCTTGTGAATTACTTTATACCTACCTTGTGAATTACCTGCAGATATGTTGTCTAAAAAATGTTAGCACCTCAAATGGAAGAAAGTAGATAAGGAGATCCATTTGCAGATCTAGAGTACGTCTTTAGTTGTCAAGTTTTGATCGTCTGTTGGGATGGATTCTCCGACGCTTACTACTACGAGCTCCAGAAGGTATCAGTTTGCATAATGTTCTCTTCTAGAAATTTCTGGAACATTCTCCTGATCTTGCAAAAGTTCTCTTGGTTCAGTAAATGTTCAACAACGTGCCGATGTATAAATTTTAGTGAAGTACGGAACCTTGAAAAGAGTCGGCCAAGGCCTAAATTGGCCGAAAAGCTGTTACAATTTGATGCCTACTGGATGTTGAACCCTGCACAATTCTTTTTTCTTTTTCTTTTTTGGTTTAATCACTGGTTTCACTAATCCGGATTTGTGTCGTGGCCAGTTAAAAATCAAGAATTACTCTATTTTTAGGCCCATTAATTGTTTTTATTCTCTGAAATTCTGACCATATTTACCGGATAAGTAATACTCGTTTCTGTGTTGTTTTTTGGGTAGTTTCTCCAATCCTTTTTGGTTTGCAATTATTTGAAGAGTACATATTTTACTTCAGCACAGGGAATATTGGGATGTATATCAAATTCTCGTTTTCTTTTTCCGATTTGCATAGGTTGTAGACATCTCCTTTTTTTGACAGGTGGACTGATTTGGATTCACTTTTTAAGTAATTAAAGCTAAATTGAGAAAGACGTTCACTTTCCTCTTTACCACCCCGCCCCCAACTAGGGGTGTACATGGACCGAGTTGGTTCGGTTTTTATTAAAATCAAACCAAACTAACTATATTGGTATGGATTGGTTTGGTTTTGTTGGGATTTTCGGGTTTTCAGGTTTTTTGTTACTTATATATAATTCCAATCTTACTTTGTTAAATATTTGATAAGTATATATCTATTTAGTAAAAATATAAAAAAAATTGACAAACATATTATCGATTAAAATATTCTTATGGGAATTCTATTAGTAACACATAATAATTATCTTTTTAGTTGTCTGAAAATAATTTTTTGTTGATATACACTTTCAGGTTAACCAAATTTAGTAATTAAACATAAAAATCAATATGATACCTAATATTAATAACCACTTCACATTCGAAAAAGATATAAGAATTTAATAGATCCTTAACATATGATATGAATATGTAAGAATAAAGAGATAGACGCATTTCGGTAACACTTGATAAGAAAGTGATCATACAACCCATTATTTAAGGTCAATAAATATGAAGCACTTCATGTTCTATTAAAATTTATATCCCGCAAGAGAATTTTAAATATTTCTAGACATTTTTTAAAGAAATTTTTATATAAAATCTTTAAAATATATATAAAAATTATATATTTATATGTTGGGTTGGTTCGGGTTTTTTTACTCAATACCAAACCAAATCAAACCAAACCAAGTCGGGTTTTTAAATCGGCTTGATTTGACTTTTCGGTTTGGTGCGATTTTCCGGTTCGATTTGTACACCCCTACCCCTAACCCACCCCCGATTTAGCTTCTACCTCTTTAACAATATGCTTATCATTGTTTTGAGATACGCTTTAACCTTTTTGTGGCAGTCATTTCCAGCAGATTTGAATATAATTGAATCTTCTTATTTATCTTCTTTTATAATTAAAAAAAATATATATATACAATCAATCAACTCAAAACTTTACATTTTGTTTTCTTATAAGATAACAAGGTATGGTTATATTTAAAACTTTAAAAAAGTTAATATTTAAACTTAATTCGAAAGCACATATAAGGAATATCGGTGAATGTTTTTTTATTAAAACAATAGACGGTTATAAAGCTAAAATAGAAGAATATATAGCATTTCCCTCTTTGTCGAGTACATTCTAAGTTGTGATAACAAAATCTCCTTTGTGGAAGTTTTTGAAAAATCACAGCGGCTAACTGTTATGAATCAACCGCAGCCTAATAAGGATATCAACACACACATAGTTATTGGGATGAGAAGAGCTATTGGGCTGAGAATAAGTAATATGGTCAGACTAATTTGGGATCTGGGTTGAGTAGTGAGCCCAAGAACTATTAGTAGAATTATGGGGATTATGCAGATTGATGAGAACTTTTCCTCTTCGTCTCTATTCTTCTTGCTTCTCCTTCTGGACTATCTCTTTCTGTTGTCCCTCGGCTCTCTCTATCCTTCTTAGTTCTAGTTATTGTAATGATTGAATCTTTGAGTTTATGAATTAAATCTATCATTTTCCTCATTTATTTTGTGTTGTGAATTCGGATTCATAACATTGGTGCTTTCATCGTTCGTGCTCCAATAACAATGGTTGTATTAGATCGATTCAGCGGTGGAAACCCAGAGGGTTGGATTTTTCGGGCAGAGCTGTACTTCACCTATCTTAGCTTCTCCGACAAGGACTGGTTACCTCTTCCTTACCACTACCTTGATGGTGAAGCTCTTGCTTGGTTGTTTCGAAATAAGAAATTTTTTGATTGGAATCATTTTAAGGAGAAACTAAGGCTGCGTTTTCGCACCCGCACTAGAGAAGCACCTGGCGGGTGCTTAGTCGTTCACCAGCAGCGCAAGCCAGTGGAGGAATTTCTAGCACGAGCTGCGGCTATTCCATCATGGTGCAACATTAGCACCTTACCCTCGCCTCAGTATTGGAATAAGCACTCGAACAACAACAACATGAACGTGGCATATGAGGTGTTCGAGGGAATGTTGGAGACCTCCCAAGATGAAGCATCAGCAACTGAAACTAACAGGGAAATATTACAGGAGCTCCAAGTTGGTAATATACCATTGACTGAGAAAGAGGAATTCATAGAGGAAGGCCAAGTGTTCAACAAAATGCCGCATAACTGCTGCTCCAAGGTACTTACTGTTGACTCTGATTTGGATTATGGCGACTCAGAGGAAGACATGGTTCTTGCTGAAAATTTCCAAAATGATACATGTCGGTTGCCTAGTCAAATTGTCGATACGACTTCATTTCTGATTTCTTTTGGTGCACGTGAGTATAAGGTTAAAAGTAGGATTGTGATAACTACTGGAATCAATTTCCCGTTGGCAGACACCTTAGCATTTTCCAGTCCAGCACTTTCACTGGTAGAACACTCTAGTAGTTGGGCTACGGATGCAAGGGATATTGGACTGTCAAATTCTAGTTATGTGGCTAAGTGGTTTGACACAGGGCACGAATTTATCATTGCTTCAGGGTGTGCATCTCTTCTGCATATTCCTTTAAGTTCTCCATCATATGCACCTACATTGTTTAAAGCAATTAGAAAAATATGGAGTTATTTATTTGCAAAGTTGTATTATTGGGAGTTGTTTGGTGAATCTAAATTTGGTATTGAGTCCTTTGATGCCGTGTATCTTGATGGAAATCCCAAACGAACTATGGACAAGAACTATGTCTCTGCAACTGATGCGGCAACCAATTTTCTGGTACCTTTTACTAGTGGAGATGATGTAGTGCCGAAAGAGATAACGAGCCCAGCTAAAGTCGCACATCCATTTGACAATGTCATATTGCTTCACATTCACAGGAGTCCATGTTGGTGGAATTTTTTTGATAAGAAGTTCATGATGGCTAGTGAGGTCTCAAATATTGCACGATATGTCCTGACGAAATTTTGTTTGTTGGTCATGAAAAACTAGCCTGGGATGAAGAGTTCGCGTTGATAATTAAGCAGCCATCATTATGTGATTTTCGACTTGTAATTTTGAGTTGCATACTCCTAAATGGCTATGCTACTTTACCTTATGGTACTAAGAAGACAATTTTGATGGACGACAAACTTTCTGTGTTTGGTGCTGTTATCATGGTATCAGGTCTGCTTTCTATTGATACCAGTGAGTTGGTAGTCTCACCTTCCAGTACGAGATCTATTCGACTTGCTTATCCGTTTCTTTGTGGTGGCCGAGAGCCTGTAGTATCCCTAATTAAACAAGTTGTTGGAACTTTCGCATTGGGTGACCGCGATCCATGGACTGGTGGTGCACTGGTTTCCAAAATGCATATGGGGAATTTCCGGACTCCGAAAAGTAAGGCATTACTACTGCTGGTATCTACTGGAAAGTTTTGCTCATTTGCATCTTCTTACTCTATGATTAAAGTGTGGGATCCCGGACGACAATGGTGTGTGAATTTCTATATATGCGAAATAATTGAAAATATAATGTTTAGTTTAGAGATTAGTGATATATCACTGAGCGCAACTAAATGTGACAATATTGATTCACAAGTGGCAGAACTTTCTTGTTTTGGATTACACTCACCAACAAATGCCTTGACATGGGTACCAGCTGAACCTTTGAGCTCATCTTCCACCATTGCAGATCTTGTGGCCACCTTGAACCAAAACCAAACGTTTGGTTCCCCATATATCTTCTGTAATACTCTTAGATATTCTATTCATTTTATATTTGCACTAGACGTGAATAGTTGTTCTTCAACCATGAACAAGATAGGGCAGCAGCATCCTAGTGCTCATGATGAACAACGAGCTCGCCAAACATCCTTATTCATTCAGCACATTAGCGTATGTATTGCTTCCAGATATGTTGTCGAGATGGTTGATAAGCTTTGTGTGAAGAAGGTCAATGAGGATTCAAGCCTTGTAGAGCTTTCTCATGGCTTTATTGTGGAAACTACACAATTCCTGAGAGAATGATAATCTGGATGAGGCACTCATTTTGAAGGAAGCAATGAGATTAAATGGTAAAATGTCAAGAACTGTCATGTATAGGATGCTTATTCCGCTCAAATTTATGAAATATGATGAAGTTGAGTGTGTGTTGACAAACATATCTCACAAAGGGCTTGTTCCAAAAGTAGTACTGTACAATACCATCCTTCCTATCCATTACTCAACAGAACATATCCTGAAGGATCTCAAGGTTACTAAGGAAAGGATACTAAGGTGTTTGAGGCAAATTGATGGGTTGCTGATTGCATTACACGGGGTGCTTTTGTGGGGATTTGCTTCTGGAAAGTTTGCCTTGGTTCACTCATTTCGCTCTCCGCTATTTGCTTCGCCAAGGGGCAAGCAATATTTGTTCGATATGCAGGGCAGGTTATGATGGCACTCAAGTTGATAACATTGCTAATGTATGAGAGCCACAAAGGACAAGGTTTAGATTGATTCACTGAAGGTGCACTGGATCCTATATTTTCCTCTAGGCACAAAGAACACCTTAGTATTCGTATAATTGGTCGGGAGCTCGTGAGTATCACTATTCTTGACTTGAACATTGAGGACAAGGTTCTCATTGAGGACGGAAGTATTGTTATGAATCAACCACAACCCAATAATGATATCAACACACATAACTATTGGGCTGAGAAGAGCTATTGGGCTGAAAACAAGTAATATGGTCTGACTAATTTGGGATCCGGGTTGAGTAGTGAGCCCAAAAACTATTCTATTAAAAGAATAGAAGTCAGTGATTCTGGAGATTATGCGTATTGTTGAGAACTCTTCCCCTTCGTCTTTGTGCTTCTTGCTTCTCCCTC